TGTTGGCAAACATGTAGTGTCAGTACCAATCAAGTTTTCCTATATACTTTAGATTTGAAAATAAAAGTGCCATTCGTAAGTGCATAATACTTTTGTTATATCATGAGGATTGTTAAATTATTATACTTGTGGCATACTTCTGACCGACTCATGGATAACGAAATGTTCTGGCTTAGCTTATCACATCGTTGGTTTCGTTTTATCAACCGACTTCATGATGTAAAGTGGCCACCATAAAGAGTTTCTAAGTTGACGTTTCGAACGCTAAAACCAAATCATCTTGTTATACTCCCTCATCGACGCAGCGCCACAATTTCGTTAGAAACGTACCCCCTTTATTCATTTATCTTATCGTTCGTTTTGTTTGTTTTTTTTTTCTATTTTTAAGCTGTACGAGTTGGGAACTGAGCCAGAAAGGAAAGAATTTTTGGACGATTTGTTTACGTTTATGCAGAAAAGAGGTAAGATAGTCTGAAACTTCCTACCTAGTGGTCAGACGATGCTAGGAAACTCATCCATTTTTTTTAGTTTGTAAATAGTTGCAGGAATTCTTCCTTAACTTTTAAGATTTATTTTATCTCTCCAGAAGTTTACGCGAGCTTATTAAATGCACACAATTTTGTATTAAGAGGGAGGCATTTCTAGCCAACGAACTACCGACTACTTAAAAATTTGATCTATCCACAAACTTATTTTTGAATTAGTGAACTTAAAAGTATCACTCAGGGGAGCAGGATTTTGTTACTAAGCATTAAATGATGAAGATGTCAACCTACCTGGCTATCTTGTTACAGCCCGGAGTCACGTAAAAAGATCACAAAATGTTTGAATTTTTTTTCTTCTTTAACATTGCTACTTAATGGCTTAAAAAAAAAAAAGATCCATTCAGGCAGATCCACTCTTTTGTCGCCTGCGTCTGGATCCGAACCCTATGATTGGTTAATTCCTCGCTGTGAAGTCACGTAGTTTCGCAAATTTCCCGCTTTTTTGTGGTTACCGGCGAAAAGCATTCAGTAGGTAACCTTTTACTTGTAACAGGGTAATATTCCTTTGATTCAAATGACACGCTTTTGTTTTTTAAATAGGTACTCCAGTAAACAGAGTTCCCATAATGGCTAAACAAACATTAGATTTATTCAAACTGTTCAAACTTGTCGTGGAAAAGGGAGGGCTTGTCGAGGTAAGTGATGCTGGAAATTTTCGTTTCAGTATTGCTTTCGTGTTTTCTATGTGGTGGTCTATGATTCATCGTCGAATTCGGTGTTGCTTATTCTTCTTTTTAGGTTATAAACAAGAAAATCTGGCGTGAGATTATCAAAGGACTTAGTCTGCCAGCATCAGTTACGAGTGCAGCTTTTACGCTTCGAACACAGTGAGTAAAGTTCCTCAAATATAACCTTTTTATTTATTTATTTATTTTATTTACATAAACCGGTACATATGATATTATTTTAAAGTTTTTGTATTTTACTCTCTCTCTCCTCTTGGAGAAATTTTGATAGAGTCTTGGATGCAACTACTGAATATTATTTATTAATTAAGACTTTTTATTATAGATACATGAAATATCTATATCCATATGAATGCTCGAAAAAGAAGCTATCCTCACCAGCCGAACTCCAAGCAGCGATTGACGGAAACCGTCGTGATAGCCGAAGATCATTTGGCTCGTTTCTGTCACAAGCCGTACCATCAGACGGCTCACATCCATACAATAGTCCAAGCCCTACAACAACACCGCCAGCCTTCACGCCTAGCAACACATCTCCAGGACTTCCTCACAGGTCTAGTCCAGGCCCTTCAGCTTCCAACCATGACGTGAGTTATCCGTTCAAATTCAGTTTATGGTTTATAACCAATAACATAAGGGCAGACTTGATTTCTGGTGAAAAACATAAGAATGATAATAACTGAAAATAATTCTGTTAGCTTTTATAAACAGTTGTTGATTATTTCGAGGTGTGCATGTAAAAAAATTGTAGTTAATGTTTGTATTTGTGATTGGAACAGACACATGAATGAACTTCACGCCATCTAATGATAAGCAATAGTCTCCTAACATATTTCCACAGTGAAAGTTACAAAAGGAACCATGTTGTGGTGCTTGTAAAACAAACTTACGTTAGTATTTAGAGTTGAGTCTTGAAAGGGAATTTTTTTACCTTTTGTTTTGTTTAATTTAACCAAAGCTTGTTCGAAAAATTGTACATAAAAGGTGCCGTCCTGAAATATGAAAATCTTCTTCCTCTAAAGGTGCATGTACCTCCATCAGTCCATGGTAACAATGGCGTTGCTATGCTTCACTCTCCGGGCGTTGTTCAATACAGTCCTAAGCGTTCGTCAAGCGTGACGGAGGTAACGTCACGAGGGGTTTCCTCGTCACCATCCGATGCATCGCCATGCGGTTCACCAGTCAAGAAATTTGCTGCTGTTAATGAACGAAGCAATAAACCGACTCCGACTCAGCTTCCCTGGACACACATTAAAATACAAACTCAACCCAAAGGTACTAAATCCTTTTTTACCGTCTGGATTTCATTTTCCACTCCTGTTCTTCTTATACTTAAGTGTAAGTTTTGAAATAACCCAGAGCTTTTGCCGTCCTCAAGGCAGAAGAGGGTATTGCACATCGTAATTATTCAAATTTTAGGCTCAGCCTTGTGGTTATGAATGTTCTTTTCCATTCATATTCAGAACATTGTACGTTGTGTATATTTTTTTGAAGAGACCGGAACATACCTGGCATAGTGTAGCGTTAAAGTAACAAGGAGTGGTAGACTACTAAATCGGTCAAAACTTGTGCGACCTAAAATTTCTCTTTTCTTTGTTCAGGTATGTCACAAGGCGGCCAGTTCCAGTTCCCTGATCCCGAACGATCATCACGCGGTCGCGAGCCGAGGCACTTACCGCTTACTCTTCTGGATCAAGTGAGCGACAACTCATTGCTGGTGTCCGTAGAGCTCAATGGCGTGGTCTACCAAGGGGTTTTGTTTGCTCGGCAAAATCGACCGGACTCGCCGAGAAGTAACGAAGACTACTAACTTAAGTATGGTGTTTCTACTCTTAAAATATGCAGACATTAGTGTAGGATTTAGAGCGGTTTTAAACTGACTTTTATAAAAATTAAATTACAGTGCGACTGCAACTTGAGTTACGCGTGGTAAAACATGCGATCGGCGTAAGACATGTAAATGGTGTGAAAGCTTGACCATTTCTCATTTACATCATGCCAAATTCAATTGGCAGAAGCTACATCTTAATGAAATCATAAAAGCCATAACATGGTTGCAAGGAGCTGCTGTGTGTGTTTAATGCGTGTTAGTAAGTAGTGAGTAGAAAAAGAGTATTTCAAGTGACCACGTCCGCTTGGCGTCACTAGACGTGGGTAGTCATTTCACCCTACCCCCTTATTGAGTTGTTAAGCTACATATTCTACAATGATTAGGACCGTTAACACTCGTCTACTTCTTTTTAAGTCGGTGTAATTAGAATGGGAAATCGTGAGTCCTATTAGCCTCTCAATATCATCAGTTTATGATACTGCACGCAAGACAAGTATTATTCTAAAATTCAGTTACTTTTCAATTTATTATTTTTCGCCGAAATGTGGCGCATTGTATATTTATCTTCTCCGTACCATTAGTTCTTTTGAAATGTTAACTTGTTCCGCAAATTCACCCCTAAACGAGAATTGGGTTAAATTTTACGTACAATGTGGCATTTTTATCGTTGTCTTGCGAATAAGCAGCAAGAACAAACAAGTTTGAGTGTTTTGAGACAAAACGTTGGATTGTGATATCTGGTTCAGATTATTTTTTTCTGCGAGTGAATTACATAAACCTGGAATATGATTTCAAATAAATCGGAAAAATGTTTGTCATATTTTGACTTTTTTGTACTTTGATATGAAATGTTGAGGAGAATTCCTCTTACTGAATATACTATAATTTTAATGTTTAAACTTAATTGTAAATCATTTGCCCTGTCGTATCTTTAAATAGGGCTCCTTCAGAGACCTAACGGCTATCTTTAAGGAATACATGCACCCACTGTAAATACTTGACTTGCGGTTATAATATTTTCCTCGCCTGGACATAAGCTGGTTATACCTAAATTCTATTCGTGAAACTATACTGTTGTTACCATAATTTTGGAGCGAAAAAGACATCACTTTGCTGTAAAATAATTTCTAGTTACTACGTCGAGGGTGTTACTGCTGTTATACCAGTTTTAAAACCAAGAAAAAAATCTTTGTTGCTCTCCTCTCTTAACAAATGCTGATCCACCGCAGTTTTCTATGGCATTTCTATCGTAAACTCTTTTTTCATTCATTTTTACGCTTTTTGGTCAATTTAAATGAGCAGTAATAACACCCTCGACTGTGTATCTTTCGAGCTTTTTCATCGGAACTACGCACAATGTATTTGGAGAAGGGTGTACATTTAAAAAATAAACTTAATTTACTTATACAGGGTTACTCTGGACTCATTCTGTCATTAGCTCCTAGGAGTTTGAATGCGTGTTATTATCTTTACGATTATCACTATAATAGTATTGCTACGTGGAGTATTCTAAGTTGGTCAGTGTTTTTTTTATTGCGCAAAATATTTAGCAGTGGCGTCAATTTACTTATTTTTCTGCGCTCATCGGAGTGCTGTTTCAAATATTATGAATTCGGTGTGTTTTCATTTATCTTTTATTGTTTAACGTAGTATTTTAGAAGAATTACCCAAGAGATCAACCTTCGTAACCGCGATGATAGTAATTAGATTCGTTTACATTTTAGATGGGAATTTACTCGTCCATATATCCAAGTTAATTAATTTTGTTCAAAACACTTTGTAGTGTTTTTAACCGTTATCATCATTATTATTATTATTTTAATATATACCGAATATCGCTGAATGCATCGATCCTATGTGAATATTTTTATAACTGAATTAATAATGAAGGATTGCGTATGTACACATGTACAAATAAAAGTAACAGACCTTAGACAGTTTTGTTTTTGACTATAAGTTTTAATTCTCTACTTTGTGTGCCAAATCTTCTACCCCACTTTGGAGTCCCAATGGATGAATAGGTCTTTTCCATTTATCTCATGTGCTCATCTAAAAGGAGGGGCCCGACTGCGTAAAAAGATTAAAACTAGGATTTGGGGACCACGGATCAAACAGAAAAAAGAATGAGATAGGGTTGCTAACAAAAAAGAAAAAAAAAACTATTTTGGGGGAAATGAAAGTCGAAAAATGAGAACAGAACAAAGAGAGAAAACTATAGAAAGTGATTATTTGTGGCTCCTAGGCCTTTCCCAGTGTAGCTAAAAAAGAGTGGCACAAAACCCGAAAGCAAAAAAGTTTAACCTGAAAGTAACAAAATGAACAACTTATCAACAACCTCGGGCGAGCGCATCTCACTTCACGTATACATAACAATGTACAACATTCAGCGGAGAACTCTGAACATACTCAATCAAAAATATAACATAAGCTGAAGTTAGTCACATTTCATTTGTACTTCTTAATTAATTTTGTTTCCATTTATATATCTAGATTTTCCTCAAGCATATATTACAGTTCCATTTATGCTGGCTGTTTTTCGGTTCTCACTGTCGTCTTACAACAACAACAACAACAATAATAATGATAATAATAATAATAATAATACTAAAATACTAACAATAATAATGCAGTTTCTCTGTAAATTTCCCTGTACAATTTCTTTGGTTTACTGTTGTGATTTAATTACTTTGAAGTTTCGGTATCCTCTTTTCCGTTGAGTCTTCTGCCGTCGTATATGGTAAAATTAATAAATTTCAAATCCATAAGGACTGGCTCGACCGGTAAATGTCGCCAAGCGTGTCTCACCTTTCTGGGAAAGTGAAGCGTGTTCGTCAAAATTTCTCTGAATGGTTCTCTTTCGCTAAGTTTAGCTAAGTAGGCGTTTTTCCAAATAGGAGTCGTAAACACCTCGGTGTTTTTTGGAGAAATTTCTCTTTTGTCGTCTTGGACCCTTGCCCCTCCGCGTGTACAACGGGAACGTGAAGTCACGCGAGAACATACGTCGCCTGAGGGGGTCCTACTGAGGCTTAGAATATAACTCATTCGGCTTGAATAGCCACTGTCGTTTGGAGAAGTTATCGTGCTTCGTTTCCTTGAGGAAATCGTCGTTGAAATAAATTCCTCGTCCTCTGTCTCATCGAAAAGCTCTTCTTCGCTGTCATTTTCTTCGAGTTTGCGATCATGCGAGGATATCACTTGGCTAAAAGGGTCCTTAAATTTTTCAGATCTTTTCAGTTCGCTAGGAAAACTGTCGCGATGTTCTTTAAAAGCTTCCATTCTTTGCACAAGCTTCCAGCATTCCTTACACAGATTGGGGCCTAGTAATTCGCAAAAGTGTCGAGACGTTTTGTTTTCACAGAGAAGTTTGGAACGTACCTCTCCACACGCGCTAGGAACGCGTCTATAAATCTTCTTACTGCCCATCAGTCCGTCGCTAGGAGTGACTTTCATGCTATGTGTGACTTTTTCGGCTCTAAAGCGTGGATGGTGAAATATCCACTCGGGATCTACGACTGGGTCCTTCAGAGTAATCTCGCGAAATTCCATACAGCCATGAGACTTCTTGGGATGGCGAACTTCTTGCATAAATTGCCGTGTTTCGTTGTAGCGAGGTCGCCTTGAAGTTACCATCATTGTTTAACGGATCACGAGTTCCCTAAACGGCCCAAAACACTAAGCAAAATGGCTTCGATTTAAATTTGCTTTCTGCACATATTTCCGACTGGTTTACTCATTTTCTTCTAAACAATCTCTCTCCGCTCGAATTAACAGTCAACAGAAAGACATGCTTGGCAACAGTCACAGCTGCTTCATTAACCCTTAATTCTCGCAAAACAGAAGTTTCAAATTACAGAAGAACCGCACAAGCGGAACGCTCCCTATAATCTGTCTTGATTGACAGATGTCATGGCTCGTGAGCACAAAATGAAGTTCCTCTCGTTCAGCGAGTGGTTTTGTATACGTGGATGCAGAGGCATGCAGACGTAGTCTTTTCATTAAATATTGATAATTTGGTTTTTAATGACACAAGGAAATACCTTCGCCAATAACTTATAAAAACCTCCCTATATTCTGGCACTGATAATACAACGGAAATGACGACAGGAAGTTAATTGCAAGTCAAGTTTTTATCGCAGACGCTTCAATAAGCCCCCTAGGGGCATTCAGTTTTTATGGCTTACAGATGCAATGCTTCCTAAAAACCAAGAGGAAATACCAAGAACAAGTTTTTTTTCCAGATGCCAGAAGTTGAAATTTCTTTGGTTTAAGAGCCTACGATAATCAAAACGGCAAATAATATAGGCTTTCAATTTTCAGTAGTGGTACACTGGCTATATTTTTATGCTGGGGTTTTAGTTTGAGGGATAAAATATGATATAGAAGATTTAATGAAAAAATATGATGCTTGGAAGATCTTGTCAAAGAGCAAGCCTCTAAAAATTTGCACCAAGACAGGTTCCTGTTACTTAAGACTTTTCAGAGTTCTGAGAGAAGACTTACAAAAACCTAGAAGAAGCTAAACACCTCCTACAACCCGTTCAGATTTTTCTAGTCTCCATTCGGAGAGAAAACCATAGTAGTTCTTGTTATGGGAGAAGAAAAGTGGGGGAGGGGGGTTTGGGGTTGATGGCTCAAGTTATTAAGGATGACCAAGATATTGAAAAAAAAAAATAAACAGAAGCCTACTATTTGTACATGTTTATTATTTTTCTGCGCAAAATTTGGCCCTTTAGGATCTCATGCCACCGCTGCCTCCACCAGGACGGAAACTCTGTGTAGCATTGAGTGGCTGAGTGACTTGGAGATTAGAAATGTTGCCAAAGTCCTAAAATTAAAAAGTGCATATTCTATTAAAAGAAATTACTATCATTGCCCACATGGAGTGCAAAACTAGTAATTCCTAAACTAAACATAGAGGAATGAACTAACCAAGATCAATCAAGCACTAGTATGAATTATGAAACAGAAGTATTTTTGAAACATAACAACTAAAATAAAGCAGTTTGAGTCAAACCTAATCCTTCACACTTCAAAGAATGATCAATGCTTTAATTCTCCACAAAGGTAAGACACAAATCAAACATACAGGAAATGGCAACAAAAAAATTACACCCAAGATGACTGTTTAGTATTGTTAGGATACAAACACAGTCAAGAGAATCAGCTGTCTGAGCTTGATGAGTTGGAAAAATGAAGCATAGAAATCTTAGCATTCAATACTTGCTTTATCCTAATCAATGAAGAGAATTATTTAACAGCAGGATGGTTAATAAAACAATATAAGTTACCATATTCACTTGTGTATAAGTCGACCTTTTACAACCAAGAAATCAGCCCAAAAAAATCACCCTTGACTTGTACAAAAGTCGTACACAAAGACCTGACCCAAGCAATCCACGAAATTAGCATTACAATTGCCTGAAGTCCATTAGGTAAAGAGAGTTTACAAAATCAGTTCTAATTGTGTTCGAGTTTTGTCTGTTTTCAGCACATTCTTTGTCAACGAAAAAGTTTGAAATAATAAATTTTATGTGAATTAAACACAAAGCTACCAGAGCTGATTTCTATTGTGTCTTTTGATCTGTAGAGCAGAAATTTTCTCTTACAGCTTTGCTGCTGTTTATGGCACTGAACTTTAGTTTTCATTGAATGATTTCAGTTGCTTAGTAACCTAGCAAATGCTGTTGTCTTGCGCGACCTTGTTTGTTACACGTGATCCTTCAAAGCTCTTTGGTGTTCCTTTGGTCTACTAGATCTCCTTTCAATCTCAACATTAAGATAAAGGTTTGTTGAATGTAAGAAGATTCATTTCAATACGATTTACAAAATACGGTAAAATACTTCTCCAGTAAATCAAAATCCTCATGTATGCCTAAATCATTGGAAAATAAACAAGTGCTAATAAACTTCACAACACACTGTTACATTTTCCTCTAGTTTTTTCAATTCATTCTCAGAAATAAGAGATTAACTTTTTGGGAAATTTCTATGCAAATCTCAATACTGGCTATAATCAATGAAACTTATTTACAATGACTCAAAACTGTAAAAAGTGAAAATGGGGGTTGACTTAGGTAACCAGTCAAC